GGGGGGGAGGAATTAAGGAGGATGGGACAGTATGCAAAACTGAAGAGAATAGCAGAGAGAAGGAAAATAAATGGATCACAACAGATTTTTGGAGTGCTAAAAAGAAAGGGGGTGGGGGGAATCTCTGTTTGTCTGTCTGCCTGTTTGGATGTCCTTTCACAACCCATGGACCAATTTGCTTTCAATTTTGATCGGGAAACTCGGTAGAATCACAGGAATATTGTTCTTAGGCTGGCTTAAAAATTCTTCATTGAGTTGGTTGATTTTTTAGCGAAATTTTAGTTTCCAGGCAAGGTTGGGTTCCCAATGTGGAGATAATATGCAGGAATGGGGGGGGAGAATTTTATAACCCCCCCCCCCCCGACCCTGTATACGCCTCTAGATGAGATGAGAACACGAGGAAGTAAATTTAAAGGCTTGAAGGGAGGGGCAGATTTTAAACCATAAAAAGGTTGAATATAAATATCTTGTTGGTTTAATACAACAGAATAAAGAGAAGGGTGTCGGTGAAGTAGTTTGGTTAAAGGGACCGTATACGATATTTCAAGCGTGCCTGATTCACAACGGTATCCTTTATCCTTAGGTCAGTTGTCAGATTAATAATCTGAAAGAAATCATAGTTTTTATGGCGTAAAAGATGTTTGATTCTGATGATTTCCTCTATTGTCAATCTGTAGCTAAAAACCGCAAGTAAATCCATTCTTGCGGACCCCGTTGTGCATCTGACGCGCTGCACTATAAAAACAGGTTTATTTGAAAAAACGTGTTCAGTCCCATGAATATAAGAAAGAGAGGGGAGTTCAGTCCCATGAATAGAAAAAAAAGAGGTAGGACCCATCCTTCCCTTGTCCTTGTATAGGACTAATAGGACCCATCCTTCCCTTATCCTTGTATAGGACTAATAGGACCCATCCTTCCCTTGTCTTTGAATAGGACTAATAGGACCCATCCTTCCCCTGTGCTTGAATAGGACAAATGATTTAATTACACGTTACATCAGATTTCCAATTATTAACTAAAAATGACGTATTCAAGATTAAATACGACAAAAAAGCTCCATGGTCTAGTTCATTAAGAGTTATATAATATAATTATCCATTTTTGAAACTATTTCATTCCTATTTTCTCAGGTTGGATAGATACAGCGCAATGAGATATTGCTTTGTTGGTATCTAGTGGCATAGATCTAGGATAGCTTCATGATACTGTATCAACCAAACCAAAATAGGAGAAGGAAGGGTAACTAAAGAAGATCTCACAGCTGTGTCCCAAAACTAAAGCTTTTCCAGTAAAATGGATTTTCAAAAAAAAATTATGAAAAGCTTTGTTAGCAGCAGGGATTTATATTTTTTCTCGACATTATGAAATTTTCAATAAAAACACATAATTTAAAATCAACATTTCAAAAAAAATTACAAATCAATGACACAAGAGTTGTATGTAAAAATCATATTAAATTTGAAAGTCGTTAATTTTTTCTAAACCCATCTTGTGAACTTTGAACCCCAAGCTTTAAAAAAAAAGATCTGAGAACCTCCCGGCGAGAATACATTTGATTAAGAGGTGATAATGTAACAGAAAAACTAACCTTGTAAGGAATATTTTCAGTTGGATATTTGATTTCAGTTTGACAGTAAGCGTCCGTCCACAGTGGTGGCAGCACTATCGATACTTGACCAAACCAAACCCTGCCACGTGTAGCGGTGTACAGTGCTGAAGAACTCTCAGATATCATGGACTAAAAAGTAGAAATGAATATGTGATTGAAAACTATTTCATAGTTCATAAAAAAAATTTAAATCTTTTTTCATTTTTTTTATTATTTTGTCTTAAAAAGTCACAGAAAACTCATTTTCATTTTCATTTGAAGTACTGGACCAAATTTAAGGTATATGTTGGATTGTACAATATACAAACAGCCTTTTGACGACATAACGGGATAGTACATAACATGATCATCCCTTTCTAGTGAGATAGATTCAAAGAAAGTTTTTAAAAGCGCAAAAATACATAAAGTTATCCGCTGGAAATAATGCTAATTTTTACACTAATCTTTAAATACAAATTATTGAATTGTCAGAAAAATAAACAAAAGAATGATTAATCCAATTAATGAATCTGTTTTCAGATAATAAATTAATTAAATTAATTGTTTCCCATTAATTAAACAATGAAATGTTTCTCAATGCCAACAACTTAATAAAACTGTTTAAATGACATGTTAAACTTGAGTAAATGGACGTAAACTAGAGTAAATGGACGTCAAACTAGAGTACGTTAAACTAGAGTAACTGGACGTTAAACTAGAGTAACTGGACGTTAAACTAGAGTAACTGGACGTTAAACTAGAGTAAATGGACATTACACTAGAGTAAATGGACGTTAGACTAGAGTAAATGGACGTCAAACTAGAGTACGTTAAACTAGAGTAACTGGACGTTAAACTAGAATAACTGGACGTTAAACTAGATTAAATGGACATTAAACTAGATTAAATGGACGTAAACTAGAGTAAATGGACGTTAAACTAGAGTAAATGGACGTAAACTAGAGTAAATTGAAGTTAAACTAGAGTAAATTGACGTTAAACTAGAGTAAATTGACGTTAAACTAGAGTAAATAGACGTTAAACTATAAGAGTAAATGGACGTTTAACTAAAGTAAATGGACGATAAACTAGAGTAAATTGACGTTAAACTAGAGTAAATGGACGTTAAACTAGAGTAAATGGACGTTAAACTAGAGTAAATGGACGTTAAACTAGAGTAAATGGTAAATTAGCTTAACGTTAAACTAGAGTAAATGACATGTTAAACTAGAGTAAATGACACGTTAAACTAGAGTAAATGACATGTTAAACTAGAGTAAATGACACGTTAAACTAGAGTAAATGGGCGTTAGACTAGAGTAAATTGATGTTAAACTAGAGTAAATGGACGTTAAACTAGAGTAAATGGGCGTTAGATTGAAATCTTATATGTTTTCAATCATAACTCCTCTTATTACAAAGCAATTAAAAGGAAAAAAAGTTTTGAATTGTGATTGCGGAAAACCTGACTTTCTCATACTTGTTCGTACCCCCAGAAATACACGTGCTACGAGGTCACAAAGTCGGACCGATGATGTCGCATAAAGGAATTGAGTCTGCCACAAACTTGAATTTTCCAATCCCCATATTTTTGCAGCTTGATGATGTAAACTTTAGAAATTTCAAAATTATAGTTTTAAATATCTCAGGTCTTGAACAGATCGGGTTGCATTGATATAGGCATTGAAAATTCGATTTTGCGGCAAAGGCGGAACAAAATAAAACTTTTAACTTCACCGACCGGTTAGCAATGGTCAGATGTAAAAGGTCGAAAAAACAATAATAAAAAGATGGAAAAATTATAACGAGGTAAAATTATAGAGATAAAAATATAAGGATGTTTAAATATATAGAGATAGATGTTTAGATATATGATAGATAGATAGATAGAAGAGTCGACTGAGAAACACAAATAGAATTTTAAACAGTTCAAATCTGTCTTGGTAACGTCAAATTAATGACAATAGATAGACAGGCAGATAAATAGCTAAATAGATCGATAGAAACATAGATATGGATAGAAAGATATTTAGATATATAGATTGATAGATAGATAGTTAAACTATTATACACATATCTAGACATATATGATAGAAATATATACATATATTATATAGATTCAGATGGATAGATAGATAGTAATCCGTTAAAGATTTTGAATCTTTAAAAACTTTATATTTTTCGATCAAATATGAAAGTATGCTAGCAGATCGTATCGAATCGGTTAGGCCTGGTAAAAACCATCATATGGTCTATTTTTGCTCCAGGGTGCTTAGTAGTTTGTATTATCGATTTACAACCAGGGCTAGAAGGCATTCAGGACTAATATATGGTTATGTACAAGGGCTTATATATATGGATGTAAACGTTTTCATTTTTTCGAAAAATCGTATAAAAAACGATCGTTTTCAAAACTATCGTTATTCGTTTTCTAAAAGTTCAAAACGAGTGGGGCGTTTTTAAAAACGATCGTTTTTTTCCGAAAACTAAATGATCGTTTTTGAAGAAACAAAAAACGATCGTTTTCAAAAACGATGAACGGGTTTAACAGGAATTCAAGACGCACGGTAAATCCAGACTGTCATGAACAATTAAATCAATTTTTAAGACTTGGTCGTTTTCTGAAAGAACGGATGCCTCGAAATGACAGTTTTTAATCGAACTCAATATTTAACAGAATTCTCAATTCTGCACGCGAGCCCTAATTTCTATGTATTGTTCAAAATGCAAACATTCCGCCCCTGAACTGGAATAGCTAAATGTATAGAATATAAGCATTTTTTCTTCTTTCCTTTCATAGAACGCTTTTTTTCATCATATTGGAAGTTTCATACCCCCCCCACCCTAATGTATGAGGTAACGGCGGTTGAATCTAAAGAAATATAGAAGAAAAAACTCCTTACGCCTGATTAAAATCTTATTGAATGTGTATGAGGTGTACTGCATATTTAAAATTAATAAAATTTTGATGAATGGTTTCTTAAACTATTAATTATGAAAAACATGATGGACTGAAGTAAGATTTTAACAAACTAAATTTAGATTTCATAAGTTTGATTTTGAGTAAATTATTCCTTTATGATACACACAAAAGTATTGACATAAATAGTCTTATTAAATCCAGTCATATTACCAATTTATATAGCTTATAACTTAACTCTACCAGTTTATATTTTATATTAAAAACTGGATTTCTTTTGAAACAAAAAGTATGGGATTGACAGTGTTACAAAAACTATATTTAGATTATATTTGTTTTTCTTACAGAGACTGTAGACGTAATTTAATAAAAAGAAGTATAAAGAAGTTCTTTAAAGTTATAAAATTTACATGTCTAAGGCTACAAAAAAAGATTAGTGAGTTAGAATCAAAGGTAAAGGAATTGCGACACCTGAAAGTCGCCTCAGTCTTAAAAATTGATGCAACTTTTATAGAAGCCTGGTTAATGTATATGCGGGGCGGAAGTCACTTTAATTTTGGTGTACAGTCCCTTTAAACACTCTGTATAAATATGATAATGTACTATTCCAGGAATAAACATGACTTTTAAAAAAATATATGAATTAACAGGAAGAGAAGCGAAAACGTTTAAATTTCTATATCCGGAGGAAATAAATACATTTTTGATTTGCATACGGAAATTTTAAATTTAAATATTTATAAAAATAAAAAAGATTAAAAAAATTATCAGACGCACTTTGGTGCATCCACTTTGGAGGCATTTAAAGTATGACGGGGTAGACCGCACAATGACCAAAATTCGTCTTGTTATACAATTTTTGCTAAAAAATATTTAATAAATGTACAATGGACATCATATGTGAGACTGCAAACCATTTTAAGAAAATTAGTGAGGCGTAGCGACACTTCAATTAATGTACACGGTAATATTGAAAATCAATCAATTAATCAATTAATGTACACGGTAATATTGAAAATCAATCAATTAATCAATTAATGTACACGGTAATATTGAAAATCAATCTGCATAATTTAAAAGCTTTGGGGGGGGGATATAAATACGACATTAAGAGAAACAAAGGAATGGAAAAGACAAAGAAGATTTTACTGTTTAAAACGTACAAATAAAAAAAATAAATAATAGTTTGAAATGAATGAAAGAAAATAAAAAATGCGAGGAACGAAATTAAATTTTTGCACGTTTATGGAAATCCTACGGAAAAAATTAAGTTTGTAGATTTAAGGGTAACGTTGAATTGCACAATTATAGTCCCTTTAAGCACATTTTTTATTAATCTAGATTTAATTAAAAATTTTAATCTTGAAGATTATTCCAGCTAAACTTAATAAAAATATGATTTCAAAATCAAATTTTCGTGAAAATCTAACACTTCGCTACCTTGATCCAAGGAGTATAAGAATAGAAGAGAGATACAACTGACGCGGTCCGCCATACCATATGATTATACATGTTTTGCAGACGGTATTTGAATAAAAGATATTTGTCTGATGTTCAATTACCGCGTATACAATAACCTATTCTGAATATTGTATCTCCCTTCTTTTCCATACTCCTTGCCTTGATCACATTTCAGTCAAACTAAGGGCGAATCCTGAAAAGTTTGGTATTAATATTAAAAACAAACTCACTAATCTCACCTAACGGAAAGGTAAATTTCAAAAACGATCACCTAAATATTATCCTTGAAGGGTGAATCCTAAAAAGGACATCACAATAATATTACCTGACTGACGGGTGAATCCTAAAAACGATTCCTCTGTATCCTCCATCTTCCGGAAGTTGAACCCGGGATCCGGTACAGCAGACGATCACTAGTCAACATCCGGTTACGTCAATAATTGCGTTAAAAAACATTTACGCTAGTCCGTACAAAGACTGGACATTGAGCAGATATATTCATTACGACCGCGATAATTGATTTGAAAGTGAATGTTTAGATATTTTAGTGAGTTCCTGAAAATAGGGCTTTGTTAACAAAGAGAAGTTTTTAGTTTATTAACGGAACCTTCCGTTAGAAATTAAACGGAACCTTCCGTTAACTATTAAATGGAACCTTACATTAACAATTTAACGGAACTTTCCGTTAACAATTTAACGGAACCTTCCGTTGACAATTAAACGTAACCTTCCGTTGACAATTAAACATAACCTTCCGTTAACAATT